GAGCCAAGGTTGATGCCTAGAGCTGGGAAATCAATTCAGGTCTCCAATGTGTGTTACAGGAACCCAGTTACTCCAGACATCACTGCTTGCTCCCAGGGTCTGCATTAACTGGAAGCTAGAGTGAATAGCAGAATGCCTCAGGCACTCTGATAGGGAACATGAGCATCCTTTATTTATTTATTTATTTTTAGACTTCTTTTATTTAATTAAAGGCAGAGTGACACAGAGAATAGCAAGGATCTTCCATCCACTCACTCACTCCCCAAATGACTGTGATGGCCAGGAGCAAGTCAGAATCAAGAACTCCATTCAGATTTCCTATGTGGGTGGTGGGGACCCAAGTGCCAAGGCATCTGCTGCTATTCCAGCTGCATTAGCTGGGCAATGGATTGGAAGTGGAGCAGCTGGGACTTGAACCATACCTCTGATGTAGGCTGCCAGCGTCATAGCAGTGGCTCAATCTTCTGTACCACAATGCCAGCCATCCCTGCTTTTTTTTTTTTTTAAGATTTATTTTATTTATTTGAAAGGCAGAGTGATGGGGTAGGCATTGTGGTGTAGCAGGTTAAGCTGTTGCCTGCGATGTGGGCATCCCTTATGGGTACCAGTTCATATCCTAACTGCTCCACTTTTGGTTCAGCTCCCTGATAATGGCCTGGGAAAAGCAGTGAAAGATGGCCCAAATACTTCAGCCCTTGCCACTCACATGGGAGACCTGGATGAAGCTCCTGGCTTCCACCTGCCTCAGCCCTGGCCACTGCAGCCACTGGAAGAGTGAACCAGCACATGGAAGGTCTCTCTGTCTCTCCCTGTCTCCCTGTCTCTCTCTAATTATTGAATAAATAAATAAATAAATAAGTCTTAAAAAAAAAAAAAACCAAAGGGTGGATCCAGGAGCTTCTTCTGGGTCCGCCATGTGGGTCGCACGGGCCCAAGCACTTGGGCCACCTTCTGCTGCTTTTCCCAGGTCATTAGCAGGGAGCTGACTTGGAAGTGGAGCAGCCGGGACACAAATATGGGATACTAGCATCACAGGAGGTGGCTTTACCTGCTGTGCCACAACCTGGCCCTCCAAACTGGGTCTTAATTTTTGTACCACATTCCCACCCCAATCTTTTTATTTTTCTTTTCTTTTCTTTTTTTTTTTATATATTTATTTATTTATTTGAAAGAGTTAGAGAGAGAGGTATAGACAGGGAGAGGTCTTCCATCTACTGGTTTATTCCCCATTTGGCCATAATGGCCAGAGCTGATCGGATCTGAAGCCAGGAGCCTGGAGCTTCTTCTGAGTCTACCACGTGGGTGCAGCGGCCCAAGTGGAGCAGACTAGAACTGGCACCCATATGGGATGCTGGTGCTACAGGCGGCGGCTTTACCCCTTACACCACAGTGCCGGCCCCTCCAGTTAATTTTTTTAATTGTTTTTTTTAATTTTTATTTTTGACAGGCAGAGTGGACAGAGAGAGAGAGAGAGAAAGGTCTTCCTTTTGCCGTTGGTTCACCCTCCAATGGCCGCCGTGGCCAGCGTGCTGCAGCTGGCACATAGCGCTGCAGCCGGCGCGTCGCGCTGATCCAAAGCCAGGAGCCAGGTGCTTCTCCTGGTCTCCCATGCGGGTGCAGGGCCCAAGCACTTGGGCCATCCTCCACTGCACTCCCGGGCCATAGCAGAGAGCTGGCCTGGAAGAGGGGCAACCGGGACAGAATCCAGCGCCCCGACCGGGACTAGAACCCGGTGTGCCAGCGCCGCAAGGCGTAGGATTAGCCTGTTGAGCCACGGCGCTGGCCCAGTTAATTTTTAAATATTTATTTTCATTTGATTTGTAAAGCAGAGAGATAACACACAGAGATCAAGGATTTCCATCCCCTGGTTCACTTCTCCAAATGCCTGCAATCACCAGGGCCTGGCCAGGCTGAAGCCAGGAGTTCAGAACTCAATCCAACTCTCCCACGTGGGTAGCAGGGACCCAAGTATTTGAGCCATCTGGATCCAAAGCAGAGTAGCGGGTCTTTTATTATTTTTTAAAATATTTATTTATTTATTTGAAAGTCAGAGTTACACAGAGAGAAGGAGAGACAGAGGGAGAGGTCTTCCATCCGCTAGTTCACTCCCCAGATGGCCGCAACAGCCGGAGCTGTGCCAATCCAAAGCCAGGAGCTTCCTCTGGGTCTCCCACGTGGGTGCAGGGGCCCAAGGAGTTGGGCCATCTTCTGCTGCTTTCCCAGGCCATAGCAGAGAGCTGGATCAGAAGCGGAGCAGCTGGGACTTGAACCGGCACCCATATGGGATGTTGCACTGCAGGCGGCTGCTTTACCCGCTACACCATAGAGCTGGTCCCAGTAGTGGGTCTTAAAACAAGCACTCCCATATGGGATATGGACAACCCAGGCAGCAACTTAACCACCTGGCTACTTTATTTTTTTTAATAGTTGATACTCAAAAGTATCAAAGGGAATATGGTAACAGCTCCCTTTTATTTCTACCAGTCTTCCCACTGGCAAAAGCTTTTCTTTTTCTTCTTCTTCTTTTTTATTTATTTATTTATTTATTTATTTGAAAGGCAGAGTGACAGAAAGGGAGAGACAGAGACAGAGAGTGATTTTCCATCTGCTGGTTCATTCCCCTAATGCCTGCAACAGTTGGGGCTGGGCCAGGCCAAAGCCAGGAGTCAGGAACTCCGTCCAGTTCTCCCACGTGGAAGGCGGAGCCTAAGCACTGGTGCCATCATCAGCTACCTCCTAGAGCTGTATTTGGGGAGTAACCGGGACTGAAACCACTCAGATGTGGGATGTGGGTGTCCCAAGGGACTGCTTAAGCTACTGTGGCACAATGCCTCTCCCTCAACAGCTTTATTATATCTTATACAAGCAAACATATTCTTTTCTAACACAAATAATGGCAAACTATATATTTAATTCTAGTTCTTTGGTGATGTATCTTTTTAAGAAAATTTTTTTTTTATTTGAAAGAGTTATACAGAGGGAGGGAGAGACAGAGAGAGCTTCCATCCACTGATTTACTTCCCAAATGGCTGCAATGGCTGGGGCTGGGTCAGGCTGAAGCCAGCAGCCAGGAGCTCATTCCAGGTCTCCCACGCGGGTGCAGGTGCCCAAGCACTTGGGCCATCTTCCACTGCTTTTCCCAGGCCATTAACAGGGAGCTGGATTGGTAATAAAGCAGCCAGGAAATGAACCAGGCACAATGCTAGTCCCACAGCTAAACTTCCAACAGTTATCCTTTACTAACATCAAATGTACCATGTTCAAAATTTCAATATTCTCATAATCTATTTAGCAGTTTATTTGCATTTTTTTCTGAATTAAGATTCCAATAAAAAATCCATGTATCCATGGTGTGTATATATATTAAAGTGAAAGACTTATTTGAAAGAGTTAAGGGGCAGGGTGAGGGGAGCTTCCATCTATTAGTTCACTTCCCAATGGCCTCAACAGCTGGGGCTTGGCCAGGCTGAAGCCAGGAGCCGGGAACTCCTTCTGAGTCTTTCATATCAGTCATCTGCTGCTTTATAAGTTGCATTAGCAGGGACCTGGGTGAGCAGTGGCATAGGCAGGACTTGAACTAGTGCCCATATAGGATGCCTGCATTGTAGGCAGCAGCTTAACCTGCTGAGCTGCAATGCTGGCCCTGATATATTTCTTAAATTTATTTCAATGTCTATTTTCCTTCCTCCTTTCTTTTTCTCCTTGCACTTCATTTGGCAAAGAAGCAGACTTGTTTGTGGAGTTTCATTGGTCTGTTAATGGTCATTCCTCTGCCTTCTGTGAGGGGGCGTTGCATCTAGTTATTTCTAAGAGATGGAAACTTTTCTCTCAGGTGCACTTAAAGAACTCTTTATTTTTAAATAAAAAAAAATTATTTGAGAGGTAGACAATTTTCTACCAACTCCTTCACCCCCCAAAGACCACAGTGGCCAGGCTGGGCTAGGCTGAAGCTTGGAGCTGGGAACTCAGTCAAGTCTCCCAAACGGGTCCCGGAAACCCAACTTCTTTTTCTTTCTCCCTCCCTTCCTCCCTCCCTCCCTCTTTCCTTCCCTCCCTCCTTCCCTCCTTCCTTCCTTCCCTCCTTCCCTCCTGCCTTCCCGCCTTCTAGATTTATTTATTTGAAAGTCAGAGTTAGAGAGGAAGAGAGCGAGCTTTCCCATCCTCTGGTTCATTCCCTAGATGGCTGCAATGGCCAGGGCTGAGCCAGGCCAAAGCCAGGAGCTTCTTTTGGGTCTCCCATGTAGGTAGCAGAGGCCCAAACACTTGGACCCTCTTCCACTGCTTTACCCAGGCTATTCACAGGGAGCTGGATCAGAAGTGGAGCAGCTGGGACTTGAACTTAAACCCCTATGGGAAGCCAGCATCAAAGACAGAGGCTTTGCCTGCTACACCACAACGCTGGCCCCAGGAACCTAATTTCTTGAGCCATCACTGCCACCTCCCAGGGTCTGTATTAGTAGGAAGCTAGAATCAGCAACTGGAGCCAGGTTGAAGTCAGGACATAGGTGTATTAACTAAGGTCTTAACTGCCAGACCAAATGCCTACCCTCTTCTTAAGATTCTGTATTTTCACTAGAGTTTTGTATTTCATTTGTCATATATTATGCATGTTGCTTCCTGCACCTGTTGGTTTATATTTTTCTCCCCTCCTGGGGAGAGAACATTGCTCATGTTGCACATTCCCTTTGTCTTTTCCCAATCATTTTTGGTCTTTTCCCTTCTAGTCCTTCCCACCTCTTTCAGTAAATGACAGAATAGACAGATCATGTGATGTGAACTCATTGGAGTACAATAAGATTTTAAAAATACTAAACCATTAAAATAAACTTAGTAGAATCAATTTTCTATAAAGTACGGTACATAATCATCAAGTTCTCTTCACTGAAGTATGAAGACTGAGTTGGGCAGAAGCACTAAATAGCTACATGAAGCATAAGGAAAAAAATATCTGTTCAAGGAGTTTCATTAAGTTCTTATCAATGTTATAATTCCCTTTCCAGGACTCATATTTTGGCTACATTATAATGAGTGACACTGGGACATCAGATGTCATTGGGCGAAGAGTTGAAGTTAATGGAGAACTTGCAACAGTGCGTTTTTCTGGCATTGTTCCTCCTGTGGCAGGTAAATATGTGTGTGTGTGTGTAATTGTCCTTTGGCATCCTCAGGGGATTGGTTTCAGGATCCCTTCCCTGTGCATCCATGGATACCAAAATTTGGTGGTGCTCAGGTTCCTTACATAAAATTGTATAGTATTTGTATATAACCTACCCATGTCTTCCTGTCTATGTATACTTTAAATCATCTCTAGATTCATCAAAATACTCAATACAATGTAAACTCTATGTATGTTATTGTTATAATGTATTGTTTAGGCAGTAATACCGAGAAATAAAGTAAGTCCTGGTTGGTATTTTACAAATACAATGATATGGGTGTATATCTTTAATGGTTGTTTAGCAAATATGAACACTTACATATTATTTTAATTTTTATTTATTAAATTTGTTGTGTAACACTCTCTATGTACTGTCTGGTGTAAAAACATTTAAAAACTTTCTTGAAAGGGCCTGTGTGGTGGCACAGTAGGTTAAACCCTATCTGTGATGCTGTTATCCCATATGGGTGCTGGTTAAACTCCTGGCTGCTCCACTTCTGATCCAGCTCCCTGCTAACTTACCAGGAAAGCAGTGGAGGATAACCCAAGTACTTGGGCCCGTGCCATCCACTTGGGAGGCCCGGATGGAGTTCCAGGCTCTTGGCTTTGGCCTGACCCAGCCCTGGCCGTTGTGGTCATTTGGACAGTGAACCCAGTGGATGAAATCTGTCTCTCTGTCTGTCTCTCCCTCTCAATATTAGCTCTGTGTATCAAATAAGTAAATAAATAAATATTTTAAAAATTATTTAAAAAGTAAATTCAGGGGCCGGCACTGAGGCATAGCAGGTTAAATCACCACTTATAGGGCCAGCATCCCATATGGGTGCCAGTTCAAGACTCAGCTGCTCTACTTCTGATCCAGCTCCTGGCTAATGTGCCTGGAAAAGCAGCAGAGGATGGCCAAAGGCTTGGGCCCCTGCACTCATGTGGAAAACTTAGAGGAAGCTCCTGGCTCCTTGGTTTCAGTCTGGTTGAGCCATGGCCGTTGTGGCCATGTGGGGGAGTGAACCAGTGGATGGAAGACTTCTCTGTCTCTGTCTCTGCCTCTTCCTTTCTGTAACTCCACCTTTCAAATAAATAAATAAATCTTTTTTTTTTTTTTTTTTTTTGACAGGCAGAGTTAGACAGTGAGAGAGACAGAAAGGTCTTCCTTTTGTTGGTTCACTCCCCCAAATGGCTGCTATGGCTGGCATAGCATTAGCAGGGACCTGTCTCTCCCTCTCTCTGTCTGTAACTCTACCTCTCAAATAAATAAAATCTTTAAAAAAAAAAAAAGTAAATTTCACAGTCCGAATATCTGTTTTTTGAAGATTTAATTATTTACCTGAAAGAGTTACACAAAGAGAGAAGGAGGGGCAGAGAGAGAGAGGTCTTCCATCCGCTGGTTTACTCCGCAGTTGGCTGCAATGGCCAGAGCTGCTCCGATCCAAAGCCAGGGGCTTCTGGGTCTCCCACATAGGTGCAGAGGCGCAAGGACTGGGGCCATCCTCTACTGCCCTCCTAGGCCATAGCAGAGTTGGTTCGGAAGTGGAGCAGCCGGGATTGGATCAGGCACCCATATGGGATGCCGGCACTGCAGGTGGTGGCTTCACTCGCCAGGCCACAGCACTGGCCCCAGTCCTAAAAAAAATTATTTTTTTTGACAGGCAGAGTGGACAGTGAGAGAGAGAGAAGAGAGAGAAAGGTCTTCCTTTGCCGTTGGTTCACCCCTCAAATGGCCGCTGATCCGAAGCCAGGAGCCAGGTGCTTCTCCTGGTCTCCCATGCGGGTGCAGGGCCCAAGCACTTGGGCCATCCTCCACTGCCTTCCCAGGCTACAGCAGAGAGCTGGACTGGAAGAGGAGCAACCGGGACAGAATCCAGCGTCCTGACCGGGACTAGAACCCAGTGTGCCAGTGCCACAGGCGGAGGATTAGCTTATTGAGCCGTGGTGCTGGCCAGTCCTAAAATTTTTTCAAGGCTGTTTTTGAGTGCTGAGAGTTCTATTATCGCTTCATACAGTTCTATAAAAAAGTATCAGGCCGGCGCCGTGGCGTAATAGAGTATCCTCGGCCTTGTGGTGCCGGCACACCAGGTTCTAGTCCCAGTCGGGACGCCGGATTCTGTCCCGGTTGTCCCTCTTCCAGGCCAGCTCTCTGCTGTGGCCAGGGAGTGCAGCAGAGGATGCCAAGTGCTTGGGCCCTGCACCCCATGGGAGACCAGGAGAAGCACCTGGCTCCTGCCATCGGATCAGCGCGGTGCGCTGGCCGCAGCGTGCCGGCCACGGCGGCCACGGTGGCCACTGGAGGGTAAACCAACGGGAAAGGAAGACCTTTCTCTCTGTCTCTCTCTCTCACTGTCCACTCTGCCTGTCAAAAAAAAAAAAAATAGTATCATATCTTTTTTTAAAAAGATTTATTTATTTGAAAGAGTTACACAGAGAGGGGAGAGGCAAAGAGAGAGAGTTCTTCCATGCAGTGGTTCACTCCCCAAATGGCTGCAATGGCCAGAGCTGCGCCGATCCGAAGCCAGGAGCCAGGAGCTTCTTCCGGGTCTCCCACGTGGGTGCAGGGGCCCAAGGACTTGGGCCATCTTCTACTGCTTTCCCAGGTCATAGCAGAGAGCGGGATCAGAAGTGGAGCAACCGGGACTCGAACCGGCACCCAGATGGGATGCCGGCACTTCAGGCCAGGGCGTTAACCCACTGTGTCACGGTGCCAGCCCCCAAAAAGTATCATATCTTAACTAGTGCTGTGGTGTAGCAGGTAAAGCTGCCGCCTGCAGTGCCTGTATCCCAAATGGGCCCTGATTCATATCCTGGCTGCTCCACTTTTAATCCAGCTCTCTGCTATGGCCTGGGAAAGCAGTAGAAGATGGCCCAAGTCCTTGGGCCCCTGCACCCACGTGGGAGACCCGGAAGAAGCTTCTGGCTCCTGGCTTTGAATCGGCGAGCTCCAGCCCTTGTGGCTAATTGGGGAGTGAACCAACGGATGAAAGATCTTTCTCTGTGTGTGTGTGTGTGTGTGACTCAGACATTCAAATAAATATAGAAATCTTTAAAAAAATTGTTTAGATGTAAGTAAAGATGGTGTGTTGAGGGGCTGGCGCTATGGTATAGTAGGCTAAGCCTCCTCCTGCAACCCCAGTTGTGTCCCAGCTGCTCCTCTTTCAATCCAGCTCTCTGCTTATGGCCTATGAAAGCAGTGGAAGATGGCATAAGTGCTTGATTCCCTGCACCCACTTGGGAGACCCTGAAGAAGCTCCTGGCTTCTAGCTACAGATTAGCCTAGCTCTGTCTGTTGTGGCCATTTGGGGAGTGAACCAGTGGATGGAAGACCTTTCTCTCTGTCTCTCCCGCTCTCTGTCTGTAACTCTGCCTCTCAAATAAATACATAAAATCTTAGGAAAAAAAAGATGAAAAAAAAAAAAGATGTTGAAGAGGGCAGAATAATGGCTCCTGAAAAATATCCCTGTAACCTGTGGTTATGTTGGGTTACATGCCCAAGGGGAGTTAGAGTTACAAGGGGAATTCAGGTGGCTCATCAGCTTATATTAGGATTGGGAGAGTAGCTTGGTTTATCCAGGTGGGCCCAACGTAATCACAGGACTCTTAAGAAGTGGAAGAGGGAGGCGGAAGAGTCCGTCGCAGAGTGCCGTGAGGAAGGAAGGGAGGTTGAGCGTGTGTGCGGCCACCAGAAGCTGGAAATGTTTCCTGATAGGATAAGCAAGCCATCAAATGTGTAAGGTTTGTCTTACGTTTCTTGCCTCCCTCCCACCCCCCTTTTTTAAGTGGCAAATAGCGTTTGGAGGCTACAGTCTGGGCTGTGAAGGTGCTCATTGCTACTGAGTTGGTCATTGTTTCTAAGTCTTTGCAGTGGACAGGTTGTATCTGTAAGATAAATTCTTGGACAGTAGATTAAAGGAGAGGATGTGGTGTTTTTGTGTATTTATTGTAAAAGGTCTCAAACATATAGAAAAGGAGAAAGTAGTCTAATAATATAATACCCATATGTACTTGTCAATTTAACAATTCTTTTTTTCCCCACCCCTACCCCCTAACAATTCTTAACATTTCGCCATGTGTACTTCATGTCTTATTTTTGCTTAAGCATTTAAAATTACACTTACAGTGGCATTTCATCCCAAAATACTTCACTGTGCATCTCTGAAAATATACATTTTCTTATAAAACAGTATGTATGTTTTAAATTTGTTTTGATTTATATGGTCAAGTTTGTGAACAGTTATAAGTTGTTGTTGTTGTTGTTTTTTAGACTTGTTTATTTGAAAGGCAGAGTGACAGAAGGACAGACAGAGAAAGATCTTCCATTGGTTCAGTCCCCAAATGTCTGCAACAGCCAGGACTGGGCCAGGCCAGAGAGCCAGTATGGGATGTCGGTATCATAGGCAACGAGTTAACCCGCTGCACCACAATGCCGGTGCTGGGGCTGCTTCCTGAGAGGGAGTCTGTGCTCCTGCAGATTAGTGCTGTTGCTGAAGCCCACAGTTGTGCCAAAGCGAAGGTCTACATTGAAGGTGGACTTGATGAATTAATGCACAAAAAAACAGAATGGTGCAGGAAATATGAGCATTGTTAGGTGTTAAGAGATTTTTATTGCTTTTGCTGTTGTGAATTTTTGTAGATACTCCTTTCTCAAGTCACTTTATTTCCATTTGTAGGAAAATCACAATACATTACTTTTTGCTAGTGCATGCTGCTTTCTTGTCACCTGTCAGAAACTCGAAATAAGAAGTATATGGAGCCAGCACAGTGGCACAGCGGGTTAATGCCCTGGCCTGAGCACCGGCATCGCATATGGGTGCTGGTTCGAGACCCGACTGCTCCACTTTTGATCCAGCTCTCTATGGCCTGGAAAAGCAGTATAAGAAGGCCCAAGTCCTTGGGCCCCTGTACCCACGTGGGAGACCCGGAAGAAGCTCCTGGCTCCTAGCTCCTGGCTTTGGATTGGCGCAGCTCTGGCTGTTGT